CGATACGCAATGCAACTCGTAAAAAGACAGAATAAGTCATTATAATCAATAATTATGTCCCCACTGGATGCAACAAATGCCTCATTTGTAATGGGTTTTATTATACACAAAATATTGTTATTTTTAGCAACGCCATATGACCCCTTTAAGCAAATTCACATAAAGACAACTACTAAAAACGGACTAATGTTCTTATTTACAGCATAACACCATGCAGAAATTTCTTCTCAGCTCACATATTAGTACTGGAATGCTGCAAACACAGAAGCAGAGTGATACCACAGTAAAACATCCCAGAACTGTTGGAACATCACAAAGTTGTGGAAAAGAACTAATCGCTGTATAACATAATGTCTTTAATGTCATAATACTTAATGAAATTATATTGCTATCTTACGTTACAAAGCATCAGACAAACATCTTATTGCTGTTGATTTAAAGGCCTCTTTTGAGTGAACTGTTAATATCATTACAGGATGCATAACATCTGCATTTTCAAGCCCATCTGTATTTTCCATTACTTACATACATACTCATGACCCCAATATCTTGTTTACCATGCAACTACTATTGCACAAAAGCTTAATAGTCTTAAACTACAACACTGGGCCTAGTGGGGAAGTAAATTCAGCCAGCTTAACTGACAACTCTCAGGCAGAGTCAAGGCATTTCATTTACACACTGCTGTGCAGGTAGGGCTTTCCAGTTGATGAATGTGTCAGGATCACTTTGAGCCCGGCGTTGATGTAATATCAAGTCATTGACTGAACATCTGTGGATGGATGTTACCCACTGACCTGTTTTCTGGGACTCCAATACTTACAGCCAGACTGACATTATATTATTAAATCCAGGCCAGCTTGCTCCTGTCACACTTTTTGAGGCCAGCTTGTTTCAGTGTTTGTCCTACCAGTCTGACTTATATTACTATTCATCCTAAAAATGTCTATACACTTGGCGCACTAACATAGTGGCGCACAATAAGTGATCAAATCCTGTAGATTTTCAAAGTAAGCATAATACTACCTATGTTTCGTTTTAGTGCGTAATATAGTACAGCATTAAGGTTCAACTCTGCATTTCACACTCACAAATATGATATGCAAAGCAAGCAGCTTTTAGAAGTATGACAGATGCTGTATTATGTCTTCATTGTCAAAGCTGAGCTGGAGGACAAATTCCTGTAACTTCTTTTTCATTCAATGGCTCACAAGGCTAATCCTTTCTATTTTAAGAATCAACCAGGCCACAGATTACCCCAACACATGTCTACATTTGTATTAAAACCAAGCTGAGTATATTTGATATAAAGATGCAGACTAAGAGAACCATTCCTTCCAGTGAGCTGTTAACTCTGGAAGATTTAGAGAGATTTGTTCACAAATTGAATTTCACTGAAAATTTAATTTTGGCCAATTGCTAACAAAAGGACTTTTCTGACATGATCAATAAATGCGGTCAATGTAAAGAATGACATAATTTTAGTTTTTTGGATTTCTCTACTACCTAAGGCATAATTTCTACCTGATCCAACCTTTAAATATTTTGTTCATAGGTGTAACAATGTAGTCAGCACATGAAATCATAGCAATTAGCAAAAGACAATGATTCAATCAAACAGTCACCCGTTTTTGCCATTCGTTGCACAAACCCAAACTTGGGATTCATAAAACGTAAGTAAACGGCTACCTGCACTTTGAGAGTCAAAAAAGAAAAGAAAAAAAGAAGCACATCAGGCAACACAAAAGTAATAATACCCGTGACTCCTGGTGATATCTTGAGGTCTTCTGAAGCAAAATGATCGGTCTGTGCAAGAAACTGAACTTTATGTGCAACAGACTTCTGTATTCTGTTAACCTGGTCCGGTTCAAGCGTTTTGCATAGGCTATGCTTTGTTAAATATGAAGCAGTTTTACTTAAGATGCCTTCAAAGTAGATACCAAAGATTATTATAACCAATGTCTATCACATATGCGGAATGATATCTAAAAGTTTTTTTATTTTTATTCTTTTCACTAACATTTGGATATAAAATTGAATAAAACGTCAACAATAAAAACAGCTAGCTAGTTTAACTGATTATCTTAAAAGTCCATAGATATCGCTATTATTTATTACGGCTGTTAGCACGTTCTCCGACAAGCGGAAGCGATGGACCTGTTTTCTGGGTTTGGTCAGGTGACGTTTGACATATACCCCATTGGCCTCAGGCAAATGGGATGTCTTATTTTTTACAGGAACTGGTTCTTTCGGACAGTTCATTTCAATGAACTTGTTCAAACAACTGATTCACCAGATTGTTACGTACACAATGACGTAACATAGAAGCAATTATATTATTAAAGCACCCAATAATGATGTGAAATGCAAATGTTTACTGTACATGTCTAAAGCATATAAATTGATTTAACTAGACTTAATCAACTCGCCTTTTTACATAAACCATGAGGAACCATAAACACTTTTATTTGGCTCCTTCATTTCTTCAAGTGCTCGGTTCACGCATGCTCAAATCAGCAGCTCATGGGTTCTCCAGTCTGAGTCTGAACCGTTTCCTCAGTTCAGTGTACTGTAGGAGTAACTGAAGTGCTAAATGAGTTGGCAAGAACCAGCATCAGGATCATATACACTGATATATTGGCTCATTTCAGTTTGGTGTGACTGTCGGCCACATCCAAAAGTGAGTTTTGATTGAGCAACTTGTAGATCTGTTTTGGCTTGAGCTGTAAACTGATTAAGATAGTTCAGTCCCATTGGCTATGGATTACAGGTAATGATGTTGTAAATAATGCACAGACCAATCATATATTGTCAGATATTTCAAATATTTTGTGTTGCCTGATAATCTTTTCAATCTCAACGTGATGGTAGACGTTGACATTTATGAATCTCCAAGGATCATGACTTCAGCTAAAAATCTTCTTTATTGTTCTTCTGAAGAAACACCTACATCTTAGATGGCCTGAGGGTGAATAAATTAACAGCAAATTTTAATTTTTGGGTGAACTATCCCTTTTAACAATTCATCGACTCTGAACTGAGAACTGTCTTGTTTGAACATGTCCGATTCGATTCGTAATGAGCCGAGAACCAGTGAGTGAGTTTATGAGAAGGGTCTGGCTGCAGCCTCGCACTTGCACTCTCAGACTTGCACTCTCAGACACTTGCGCTTCTGCTAGCAACGTCACTTGCAGGCTTTATTTTTTATTTTGTTCTAATTTTTTTATCACTTTTTGTTCGAATCTCTCAACATTTTACTACAGTAGCCAGGTGGTGAAGACAAGAAAAAAGAAACTAAATTACGAAGTCACTTGCAATCGCCACTTGCACTCTCCGCTACCTGCGATGTCACTTGCAATCGACACAAATCGTGCGTGTTGCCAGTGGAGACAAGAAGCTATGGTGGTGATTAAACGATTACAACTAATTTAGTACTATAACATACAGGGTCCTGCAAAAAAAAAAAACAAGACCCTGCAAATCCGTGGCCACAGAACAGCAGAATATGAACGCATGCGCAGAGTCTCTCGTTAAGCGTTTTGCTCCTGTAGAAAAACATAAACACTTACACTTAACATGGCTTAATGTATTAAGATGCTATTAAAATATCCACAAACCCAAACTTGGGATTCTTAGACAAACAAACCAATGTTTTAATATTGTCACAGAGCCACAGTGTTTACAGCTGGAAACTGACCTACTAATGGCTCACTAGTATGTCTGTTTGTTAAACATCAATAAAATTACATACGTCACCTTAAACACACACTTTCACCATCATCTGATGTGCAGCAACTGGAAGCATCTCTCTTATTGTCATAGCCATGTAAAATTAGCTTGTCCAGGGTTTATTTTTAGTCTGCTGCCTCCAGCTGTGTGTCAGTGTGATGAGACGCTGCTGACACACTCTTACTGTTCACACTTAAATAGGCCAGACTGACTGTGAAGAGAAAAACAGACATGCCAGACGCCTTCAGAAAACCCCCAAAAACCAGCCGCACTGCTTTATCATGCCAATAACACTGTGAAATAATTACAATTCTGCACATTTTCAAGTTGGAAGCTGCCTACTTCAAGCCAAATCCTATGAATACACTTAAAAATGCAGAATCGAATCATCAATCAAAATGAAATCTCATTGTAAACTGAATTGAATCATTCCGAATTTGCAAAAATTATTCTTGAATTGATTCGCTGTCTATTCACACCCCTAGTAAAAAGTGGTTATCTTGATTTCGTATAGTTATCTAACTGACAGGGTGGGGTTGACAATATCATTTAATCAATTTTAACTGACCATCATTTGATGAATTCTTAAATCTCAAAATTGACCTTTTAGTCAATGCTGTTTTCTGTTGATGCTTGAACATAAGCTCACATCTGGTAATTGCTCTAAACTTTGTGTTTTGCTTCTTTTTATATGAAGCAAAGTCTCAGGTCTCAAATTCTGTCAGTTTTATTGTGAAATGTAATCAATAAATACCATTTTGGTGCTCTTTAATGTGGCAGACTGCTGTAGCCGCCTCAGTTAAAGCAGCAGCTTGTTGAAAGATACAGTACAACTTACAGAAAAATATAATGTGTATTGTAATTGCTAAATCAGTGTTTTAACTGCAAAATAGATGTCAGTAAAACAACTGTAATCAATATGTCATGTAATGTTACATTTACCTCAGGAAAGCCATTCAATGTCCAAGGTCGATAGTTAGCCTGAAAAATAAACTCTAGAGAGGAATTAAAAAAATAAAATAAATAAAAAAATAAAAAATTACACATTCATTATATTTTTCCTTAACCTGTAATATTATAGAAATGTACCTACCAACAGGTTCCCTGTGTAGTTTAGTAGCATTTAAATTGTGAAATCTGTATCAATACTCAGCCATACTAATTGAGACTGTTTTCCTCATATTTACCAACTGCTAGTTCCACTAAATATTCTTGGCCAGGGTGAATACGTCTTGACAGTAATGCCTTGTGTGTGTGTGTTGACTTTGCAGACTGGACTAATAGTGGCATGCTACCAAGGGTATGTGGATGTGGTGACTGCTCTCTTCCAGTGTCCTCACCTGGATGTGAACTGGCAGGACAATGAGGGCAATACAGCCCTCACCACCGCTGCCCAGGCGGGTAAGAGCGATCAGACAACCTCAATCCAAATCACAACCTGCACATATTTACATTTAGATAACCGTAAAGTTTAAGTAATAGTGAAAACTTCCAAATGCTACTAGAAATGTACTGCTGAGTGCCCTAGAAATGTTGTTACATATTCAGCAACTGACTGCATTTCCATAATTCACCTCAACAATTGCAGGTCACATCACAATCACTAACTACCTACTCAACTACTTTCCCGGGCTTGACATCGAGAAGAGGAACTGCCACGGTTTCACCGCTCTGATGAAAGCTGCTATACAGGGTCGAGTGGAATGTGTCAGAGCCCTGATGCTGGCAGGTACTCGAGCTTCAGATCACTGTGTAACAGACTGACAGACGTGCCAGGAAACACTACAATATAAAGCAGCTGTCATATGATTAGCTACAAGACAAGGATACAATGCAGACATAATCAAACCACAGATTTACTAACTGATTTTAAAGGGATAGTTTGCCCAAAATTGATACATTTGTCATTATTTATTCACTCTTATGCCATTCTGAATCCATATACTGTTATTTTTTCTGTGGAAAAAAATGCAGCTCTTGCCATACAATGGGAGTTCATACAACTATCTTACAAATCTTCTGAAGTCACACAATAGTCACACAAAAGTGTGAGGAACAGAATAAAGTTTTTTTCATTATCATTTTTGTTTTATTTTTTGCTTTTATTTTGGCTTTGTTACTTTCTTTTTCATATTTTATTCTTTCATTTTTGGCTATACTGCATTTTATGCATGATGTGTCATAGGAATAATACTTATTACAAAAATATTTATTACTATTCATTTTTTTTAACATTTTATTCATTTTTTCAGTTTTTTTTTCTAAAGTGAATTTTATATTCTGACCTGTGAAGTTACATTTTATAAACAAAATGTGCCACCCAAATAATATTTTTTACGAATTTTTATTATTATTATATGATCATTAATTAATTATGATGTTTGTTACTGTTCTTTATTATTATTATTTATTAAAAAAAATTCTAAATTGATTTTATATTGTAATGTGAAGCTCCATGGTATGTATAACATTTTTCATACAAATAATATTAATTAAATAAATATATTATTATCATTATTATTTATCCCCTGAAAATCTGTGAATGACTTAAATGCTGTATGGCTTAAGAAGATATGTAGTGCAAGAATGTAGTGAACAAGCCATATGTACCACTTTTTTTGGTGTGTTTGTTGTATGGCAAAAGCTGCATAATGATTCTTCAAAATTAAATTCTTTTGTTATAGTCAACTCAATTATAGTCAATAAAAGGAATAATTACAAAATAACTGCTTAACTAAATTTTACTGCTAAAGTTACTACTATTTTGAGTGTTTCTGCATGACGCTACAACGGTCAGGTAGCACATGAGTTCTAGGAGGATGCGAGCACTTTTTACAAGTTAGATTTATTATGGTAATTCTGACATGGCGTGGAATAACCTCATAACTCCAATCACACCATCACATTTGCTTTCTTGATCAGGAGCTGACATAGAAGCCAGGGACAACGGGAGGAAGTTCACTGCGCGAGAATGGGCCATCTTCACAAGCCGCTATGACACGGTGTTTGCCATGACGCGGCTGATGCAGCAGCCATGTGCGGATCAGTTCAGCGACACCTATCGGCCTGAGTGGCCCCTTCTGCCCGCGCTGGTGGCCAAAGCTCAGACGCCCAAAGGCTGCATTCAGAAAATTTCACAGACACTGGGGGACTTCTTTGACATCAGCAACGTCACTGAGGCTTCAGAGGACGGGGTTCTGGATCACATGGTGCGCATGACAACAGCACTGGGGAGCCCATTCATTGCAATGGCATGTCGAACGGTGTGTCCCGGCAGCCCGCCCTGCGTTGGAAAACGCAGTTACTCTGTTCAGGAGATACTAAAAAAACAACGAATTGAGCAGCTGAAAAGTCTGGGACCCGAGCGCCTCGAGAACTACAAACGTCTCTTCCAGAACTCCCGTGTCCTACTGGTGCCCAAACCGAAAGATCGTCGTGCAAGTCTGCAACCCCAGGCCCAATCAGATGGCTCCTCCTCTTCCTCACCGGCCATCCGCAGGGCCAGTCTGCTCCCCTTACACCTACTGAGGAGGAGCAGTGTTAGGCCAGGTATGGTGGTGCCCAAGCTGAGGATTACCAAGGCACCCACGGCAACCTACATGCCGGAGAAAGTGCGGCGGAAAAGCAGCTGTAGAGACGACCAGTTCCTCCAGATACCAAAGTGGAGATATAAAGAACTGAAAGAGGAGCGAAAGAAAGCAGAGGAGGTGGAAAGGAAAAGATTGGAGGCCATAACAAAGAGACAACTCACTACGGGCAAAAGGAAATAAGTGTGTGCAAACATACTGCTCACCATTTAATACTTGAAATGCAATTTTGATATTGGATTCCAATTTATTCTACTATTTATTGTTTTGTTTTTTAAAGAAGACTAATTTTTATAATGTTAAATGATAAGTTAAAAGATGAGTTTAATGATAAATTAACTCCTATTTACCCTATTTAAAATGTGAATGATTTAAAGTGAACAGCTCCTTTAATTCCATTTCATGTGTTTGATCATCAGGAAAAAAGCCAACCAGATCAGCTAATATGGGTGCGCTACTAAAACCAGATGCTACTTTATGTTTACATCCTTAAATTGATTCTTTGACTTTTAGAGTTGTCCAAATGCTAACATTGTCTCAGATTTAACAGTAGCATTGTGAATGTATTTAACAAACATACTTTTTCAATACCTCAATTTAAAACTATTTTTATAAACATTGAAGATGTTGATGGTATTTCGGCAGCAGCCATGCCTGTATTTGCACACATTTCAAATGCTACAGACAATTACCAGCAAGTAATGAAAAATGGGAAAAGAGGTAGTGATATCTTGAATCAGCATCTTATTAGATTTTTTTTCTGTACATGTATTTTAATATTTATTTATACTACTAAAGCACTCTAAGGTAATTACTTCAACGACCATGTTCTGAAACTATAACTGTTCAAGAAATACAATGTATTATATTTTAGAAAATGGTATTTACTACTATATGGTGAGAGTGGGGTTAGATGCGTCATGCTTGCACACTAAATGATTGGCTTTTGTGTATCAAGGACCAAACTTTCACAGCTGCCTGTGATGGAGAGATGCGTTTAAAAAAGGCTAAACATTTCTTTGCATGTCAAATTAAATAGTTCTACATGTAAGGTAAAATGAAAGCCAACCCAATTGAATACAGGTATACACACTACTGTTCAAAGTGTAGGGTGAGTGAGATTTGTTTTATAGAAATTAATAGTTTTATGTAGCAAGGACTCATTAAATTGATCAAAGGTGACTGTGAAGACTTTTATAATGTAACAAAAGATTTCTATTTACAATAAATGCTGTTCTTGTGAATTTATGAGGAATCCAGAAAAATATGTATCAAGGTTTCAACATTGATAATAATAAATGATTCTTGAGCAGCAAATCAGCATATTAGAATGCTTTGTGACTGAGTAGTAAGTGTCACATTGGAGTAATGGCTGCTGAAAATTCAGCTTTGCCATCACAGGAATAAATTGTTTATATATATATATATATATATATATATATATATATACACACACACACACTGTAACTGTAATTATATTTCACAGTATTACTGTGTTTTTGATCAAACAAATGCAGCCTTGGTGAGCATGAGACTTTCAAAAACATTAAAAAATCTTACCAACCCAAAACTTTGTAACGGTCTTGTATATTGGTGAATTACTACTGTAAAAACATATGACTTACTTAGCTAAAGATTAGCCATGAATTATATAATTTTTCCAAAAACAATAGCTTTGGGGAAAGCTGTGCCAGTAGCTCCACTAGTAGTGAAACTGAACATTGCCTTCAAATAAAGGAAATACTGTTATTAATACAAAATCTGAAAATTAGTAATTATTCTGACTATTCAACCTTATCCTGGGTATCTTGGTATGTGAAAATGCAAATAATGTGCAGCAAAGTAAAACTTTACAAAGGCATTGCACTGTACATTAGTAAATATCCCCCCAAATTATTTTAATTTGAAATGAAAATTATTTCCCAATGATTTCTTATAATTTAATTTATAAGAGAGATCCTGAAATTTTAGCCATATTTGTTTGATCTCCAACTCATTCCTCCTCACAGGAGGCAGCTAAAACGTCAAAAGTGGCACAGCTTACCCCGCTCTCCCTTATGGTTTCTTCAGAGCTGGAAACAGTTAATCCAAATTCATATCACAACAAATCTCAGGTATGAACACTTCTGTTTAATTAAAGAACGTGCAGTGATATCGGTTTGAAATGTCTTCTCACTGACCGTCACGTCATTTAAACAGCACCACTGTGCCTCGATGTCAAGACTACACAAAACACACAAACAGCTGATTTCATAGAGATGTCAAGACCAGCACTGCCCTTATGTCTGGTCACCCTGTTATCTTAAAATAACACTGTGTTTAAACTACTTTAGGTTTGACCAGCAATGCTTGGAAGAAGAATCTCATTGTAACTTTGGAATAAAAACTGCTTTATAATAACAAAGTGTGACTCCATTTGTTGAACTTTAAGCAGGAGTAAAGGTGAAGCACAGCTATTGAGGTCACTGGCATGAGCTGACAGACGCTGAGGGACTTATCAGTGTTGCAAGGTCAGCACCTGCCTCAGGACAACACTGTATGAAGAACAATGAATTGCCCTCTGCTGGAGAACCAAAATACTGACGTGGGATCTGTGGCAGCACTGATAGCATATCAAAGACAAATACACTGCGAAGGACAGAATGTCAGATAGGCCCCAGGGTTTGGGTCACTCTGAACTGGCTTCAAAGCCAGTGCTCAATTTCCAGATATCATTCTGTGGAAAAATACAACCTTGACCTGAAACATGACATTTCGTAAGGGTTTACCCCCCATGCTTTTGAGGTTCACCTTGTCCGAGTGGGAACAGCAGGTTTGGCCAGCTGGTGTGCTAATTGCACGTTCCACAGAAGTCTTGCTGCTTTGGGTCCAGAACATGCCGTGGGAACAAGCTGAAGTTTGCGCCAGCTGCTGGTTCTTATCGACACCTGAGCGGAACACAAAGTGAACAGAGCGGGACAGGAGGAGAGCTTGAGAACATGAGATAATGAAAGAGAGGAAGAGAATGGGGCAAATCAGCTTTTCCTGCTGAGCTGAGAGCATATACTTACTAACCTCATTAATAATATTTAATAGGACAAAACAGACATGGCAATCAATGGTTTACATTTTTTTTAATTCCAGTGCATCTGAAATTCCTCTACTTCTTACTCTCCACAAATTTCTGCAATTTAGTTCAGATCGCTATCATGAACCGCTCAAAATGGCATAAAACATTGTTTTGAAGACCTTGAATTCTTCCTCTCACACACGTCTGGTCAGCTATCCTTGTGGGGACTCTCCATAGGCGTAATGGTTTTCTACTGTACAGACCGTATATTCTATTGCCCTACACCAACCCTACCCCTCACAGGAAACTTTCTGCATTTTTAGATAAAAAAAAACGTAATGCTGTATGATTTATAAGCTTTTGTACCCGTGAGGACCACAATTTAGGTCCCCACCGTGACAAGAGTCCCCATGAGTCTGTGTGTAGTCAGGTTTAAGTCCCCACCAGGATATATAAACCAGTACACACACACACACACACAGAAACTGATTATTTTGTCTGGGATTATATTGTTTATTCTCCAAAAATTTCTGAGATTAATTCAACCCAATGCACACAGACTCCCTATTACAGTTTTGTAAATCATTTCAGCCTTACATGTTACTACTTGTTGCGAAAGCACTGTTATTTCCATCAGGTAATGCAAGTCTAGCTTATGAACGTGTTTTTAAGAGCAAAAAGTCGTGTGGTTTTATGTTAACTCTTTATTCAGATAGCCACACCTAGTACCTAATGCCTAATATACAACATTCACCGACTTCAAAAAAAATTTTTTTTATACAACTTACATCTCTCTGGAACTATTTATGTAAAACAAAATTAAAACAATAAAACACAGCTCCACGCATCCCTCGTGAAGTGAACCCACATAATTAATGAAATGTTTCTGATTAGTGATTTGCAATGGAGCTTTCAATTTTAGTGTTTCAATGATCTACAAGTAAGAAACAGGAAATGGAACGTTTGTCATGATACTGGTGGAAACAGGACACTTGCAGGCACAGACGGAAGGGGGTTGGGGGAGGGGCGTACGGAATGCTTGACGGCAAGAGATTCCTGGCAACCTGAGCAGGTGTTAGGGGTGGTGTGGTCTTGGCCCCGCGCGGGGGGCCGGGGTGGTCTAGAGTTGTGTGAAGGCTCACTTCCGGGGCTGGTGGATGTGCTGGTTGATGTGGTGGGAGGGAGGCAGCTTCTGTACTGCGGGCACAGGTTTCTGATGGGCCACCTGGGCAGCAGCAGGAGTGAAGTCTTTATCCCCCTGAGAAGGACAATCAATAGAAACACAGCTAATTATAATATGTGCATATGATACGTGACATGGCCAATGCTTCGTGTGCATTAAATCACACCATTAATTGTACAAAACTCAGTCCTGGTTCTCTAATCTGATTGGCCAAAGGGTGTTTCAAGAGTGCTCTTTTGTCGACCAGGGCTGCGTTTCTCAAAAGCATCGTGAGCTAAGTTCGTAAGCTTCAGTATTGGTGGCAATGGTTCTACAATCTACTTAGGCTTACAATGCTTTTGGGAAACGCAGCCCAGTACTAATGACCACTGTCTGTGATCCAGGGTTTATTATCATTAACTAAAATTGAAACTATTTAAAACATCTCTGTTAATTGAAATAAAGCCGAAATAAAATATAAATGTTAGACAAAAAAAAAAAAAAGTATGAAAATTAGAAATGTTGTTTTTGGCAACAGAAATAAGTTGAAGCACTAAAACTCCTAATATATAAATAATAAATACAAACTTAAACAGAACTAAACCTGAAACTAAAATAAATGTATCTTAAATGGTAATAAAAAAATAAATAAAACGACAATAGCATAAAATTACTAAAATTGAAGTAAAATTAAAATGAAAACAAAATATAAAAATCTAATTCAAAATATGATTAAAACATGTATTAGTCTATAAAAATAAAGGTAACACTTCACAATAAGGTTCCATTAGTTAATGTATTAACTAACATGAACAAACAATAAACAATACATTTATTATAGTATTTATTAATGTTAGTTAATTAAAATACAGTCGTTCATTGTTAGTTCATGTTAATTCACAGTGCATTAACTAATGTTAACAAGCACAACTTTTGATTTTAATAATGCATTAGTAAATGTTGAAGTTAACATTAACTAAGATTAATAAATGATGTAGAAGTATTGTTTATTCTTAGTTTATGTTAAAATAGTTAACGAATGAACTTTATTGTAAAGTGTTACCAAAATAATGCTGTTGCGTTTGCGGTGTACCAGTCCGGAGTGGAAGCGTTGGTTTTTTTAAAGTTCTTTTTTATTTTTTTAGATAGATTTGATAGTTTTTTGCTTAAATAATATTAAGATGGAATAAGAACAAACTTGCTGTCTGACTCCCGAGTTACTCAATAAAAGCCAGTGGTTAAAAACTGATCAAGGAACTTAAAAGTGAAAATTAACAAAATTAAATTGAATGTAATTGCGTAATTTTAACAATTGAAAATAATTTTTGTTCATGTTTTCAGAAAAAAAACAACATTATTTTTTAAATGCTTAACATTAATATTTTGCTTCAAATACGTATTAGCACAGTGTGCTCCCATTTGAAAAATACCTTAACTTTATTTTTTACTTGGTTCTAAATGGTTATCTTTTGAAAAGGATGCTGTGAATGTCAAAATTATTTTCTGATCAGAACCAATCAAAACAAAAAACAAAACAAAAAAAACGTAAGTTTCTAAGAAATATCACACTCACAACTGTGCCGTTTAGAATGATATTCAGTGTTTGATTGTGATGTTGCTTAATTATGATGATTCATATTAACAACAACAAAGATGTCTGTATATATTTTCTAGCTGCCATCTTTTGAAAAATCTAAACTACATTTTATGAGATGCTGAGAGCTCTTTGCCTTAGTTTCATGTCTATTAACATGAAAGAAAAGCGGCACACAGAAGTGTCTGACATGCAGCCGTTGGATGCCCAGTGAGGATAAAAATCCTACTGCAAGAGAGCAGCAGCCGCAGACATTCTTCTGCATCCCTTTAATCTGTATGAGAGAGTCTTTCAGAGCAAATATGTGAAGCTTTTGAAGTAGATTACGGGGTGGACAGTCCAAGACAGTGTAACGAGCCAAGACTGAACACAAGCATGGCATTTCCTGTTTTCTGTCTGTTTACCAGCTTGCCAGAGGACAAAAAGAGCCTCAGATGTGAGTATTTAGAGAGGAAATATTGCAGAAATTGTGTCACTTGAGCACTAGAAGCTGTTTAGATCACTTCAAAAGTAAAAGGAGTCCAATGCCTCAGTAAAAGGGCTTCATGTGCATCGCGACATCCTCTAGGGTCACGCTCTGAAATGCGTATTTAAACACGATGTTCTCTTACACACC